AATGCCTCATCCTCTTTTATTAGACCTTGAAGCTCTTCAGCTTCGTGGTCTGACAGCGTGGCACAAGAGATTTTATATTCGTCTCATCGTATATTGAATCCCTGTTCTTGTAAAGTTTTTGGTAAAATTCTCTTGTTTCTTCAAGAATTTCTTTTTGTGTTGTAATAATTTGTCCACTATCTTTCTCTAATCTGGAGGTGGGGGTGGGGGTGGGGGTGGATGGCTTAATGGTTAGCACGTGCGCTTTATCATAAAATCTGTCATTGAGTCAACTGGCGTGGTTTCGATTCCCCGGTCGTACGTGACAAGGAGTATGGTCGCCTGTCCAACCTCGTGGGTTTTCTCCGGGTCCCCCGGTTTCTTCACACTGCTAAAGACCCCTACGCTCAAGCGAATTGTGGAAATAAAATTGAACCATATGTTAGTCCCGAAATGACCTAGTTTTTGTCGAGTGGACGTTAAACCCCATTTCTCTCCCTCTCTTTCTCTAATCTACTTATCAGTTTGCTATAATAGTTTCTAGATTCGATTTTACAAAAGTATTTAGTGGGTCGTTCACCTTCTTCTATCCATAGCGCTCTAGCTCTAATAAATTTGCCCCTCATTTTAATTTTCCTAAGGTTTATCAGTTCATTTTGTTTTTGTTCTAGTATTTCCAATTTTACATTACTATCATTTTCTAATTTTGTAATTTCTTTCAATAAACTTGTTTCTTTGCTCGTTTCTTTTGTAGATTGAATAGTTTTCTGTCTAATCTACATAAGTAATGCATTTAAAAACTCATAATAAGAAATTGTAAATTGAAGGTTTTTATTTTCTACTTGTTCAATGTTTTCTCGTTTATATATTGCTACCGCATATTGACTTTTTATTTCTTTAATGAGGCTTTTGATGATATCTATATACTGTTTATCTTTTAGAAGGAACGTATTTAGTTTCCATAGCCCTTTACCCTTCTGCAAATCGCCAGAACTGGTGAATGATCTGATCTATAATTTGTTTCAATTTGGGTGCTTGTGATCTATGGAAGACCAAATGGGACAATATTCATGATTCTTGTTTCTACATTCCAGTTTGAACATTTTAGGCACGAACGCAACATTCTAAACTTATGATTCTTGTTTCTACATTCTTATGTCAACATTTCATGCACAAAATCAACATTTTCATTTCAAGATTTTAACTTCAAGACATTTTGAAACGTAGAAAATATTTTCATAAGAGTTCAAATTCCAGATTTTTTTTTAGATACTTTCAGAAACCAACGAATTGATTTCTTTGTCGTGTAAAATTAAGAAATTATTTTTTAATTTTAATATTTAATGATATATAATAAAACGCCGAAAATGAAACATAAAGTCAATTTTTTGTTTAAAATGTTCATTTTGTGCATGAAATGTTGACATAAGAATGTAGAAACAAGAATCATTAGTTTAGAATGTTGCGTTCGTGTCTAAAATGTTCAAACTGGAATGTAGAAACAAGAATCATGAATATTGTCCCATTTGGTCTTCCATAGTGATCTTGGGCATTAAGCTATTGAAGACGTGGAAAAGGTCTAATTTTGCTTGTTTTGGGGGATTTTTTACGTCAAGTATATCTTTTAAGGTTGGTGTAATATATACTCCCTAAAGACATCTTTCAAGTCATATATCTCATTTTTTTCAATTAGTTTATTCTTTTTGGCTTTTGGGTTATTATAATGTAAATAATTTTTTGTGTCTAAGTTTTGGTTGATCACCATATTAATTTCTCCACCCATTATAATCTAATTATTTTGAAATTCTTCAATCTTATTAAATAGGTTTTCAAAAAACAGTGGACTGTCGCTGGATTTATCAAAATTACTTCATTCTCTTCAATTACAAGATCTAATATTAAGATGTTTGCTGTATTGTCTGCATATTGCACTTTAATTTTATAATCTATATTATTGTTTATTAATATAGCCACTCCTCTTGAGTTACTATTAAGCGAATTAAATATGCAGTTATAATCCCATTCACTTTCCACATATGGTTCAAGTTGCTTTGTTAGACGTGCAAGCAGTTTATATTGTATATTTTACTTTTTAAGTAGTTTAATACATCCTTTCTTTTTTCAGTGCTTCCTAGACCATGGCAATTAGCTGACAGTATTTGTAATTTATTATCCATTATCAAATAATATTTTAGTTATTTTTTTTTTTATATATTTCTAGTCTAATCTTATACAGAGGTTTTATTTTTTTCACAGCAGTGGAGTGTAGGTGTATCAAAGTTACATACATAATTTTACATACATAACAAAAACAAACAATATCCCCCTCCCCCATGCCTCCCCATACTAGGCGGGTTCTGTTAATCCTGTCGGTGGGCATTAGGGTCCTTCAATGAGCCACATAAGTACAATGTAAGTACTTGCAATGTAGATGTAATATCGGGAAGTGTTTCACATTTTCCATTCTCAAGTATTATAATAGGTCTATTGGTATGTATATCACATATTCCACAGTTTCACTACGATATTCAAATCAATGGTTTACTTCTATCGTAAATCAAAAATCAAAAAGATATAGGTGTATAAAAGCGTGTTTCATAAATGGGTTTCAGGGACCAATCTACCTCATGGCTAATTAGTTCTATATCTTAAACCTATATAGTCTGATTTATAATAGAAACCTGGCTAAATAGGAGAGTATACATGCATTTCTAACAATCAATATAAACCTCCCCAACTTTCCTCTTGTTAGGTTGATAGATTCAAACCCATGCAGAGATGTTACAGATTTTGTTAACTTAATAAAATTCACATTTATCAACGGTTTCTTTTATACTCTGTCAAAAGTATGCGTAATAGCATATTTTAACAGTTTCCAGCTTTTTTTTCGCACATTAACGTGAAGTCTCTCTTCTCTTCCATTTCTCGCCAGTACACCAAGTCTCTAGAATCATATGTATTCCTTGATCTCGTATTCTGGTTTTAAGGTGTTCCTGTTTTCTAATATCAAATGCAATACCGGCCAGTTTATGACGTTCCTGTTTCATAGGTTGAGGCAGATCCTGAAGAACTTGTTGACCTTTTGTCAGCAGATTTCTTTTTTGTAATATTGCTTCTAAATCTCTGTAGTGCACAAATTTCACTATTATAGGTGGGGGACCTTCTCTATCAACCTATGCACTGACATTAAATGCTATTGAACATGGTACATTCATACTAATGTGAAAGTAACCGTCTATGACGTTAAATTTATGTAAATTGAATAGTAAACTATTGCTAATAACGGACGCTTACCTAAATATTACCAAAGTAACGTATCATTGTTATCTAGGTAGATTCTTTGGGAGAACAGTATGCTTGTACCTGAAGCATGTTTTGAGTACATGTCAGTGGGGTGCAATTTCTTCGAATTAAATGATAAAACAGATATGCACAGAAATGCTAAAAATAGACAGTAAAACCGGTGATAATAATATTATTATTAAACCTGCAAATTACGCAATATATCTGGATGCTTTTTGTGATAAGATAATTGACGTGGAGACTCGAATTTCATCTATTGCTTCCCACATGGTTAAAAATTAAGTGATGAGTCAAAATGTTCGAAAATATCAACGGAGTAAAACGTTCTTAAATCGATACCTACGAATCCAAGAACTAATGGTTTTAAAAAAGCAATAACCAACTATAACTGCACCCACGTATCTCCGCTAACAAGGATCATCTTGTGATGGTGGCGGCAGCACGCGAACCGTATAAAGCTTTGTAGTTGGGGCCGAAATTATGTTGTGTCTTTTCAGCAGGGTGGTAATATTGGTTCCTTATGGGTCTTTTCAAGGGGCGAAATATGAGTTGTCAAAAACATACATTCAAATGATTTTAAGCAATATTTAGGGTATTATGCTCTCAAAGCTGCAAAAGGTTCTAATGATAGGTAGGGACAGAATTATAAACAGTTTTAACAGCAAAACGGGTTCACAATCCATAAACATTTCGGGAATTCTCTGACTGATAAATATTTTATTCCCTCGAAGTCGCGGAATATGGCTTGTTAGTAGAAAATAGAACTTAAGGAAAATTATCTACGGAGTTTCAATTGTCAGGAGAGAGAGAGAGAGAGAGAGAGAGAGAGAGAAAGAGAGAGAGATAGTACTTGGCAAGGAGCAACGCCTATTCTTTTGGATGGGAAAGAATCCTTGATAGTTGCCATTCGACGAACAAACAGGCAAAAATACCGCTTTCCGAGACAAGATGTCTCTCATTATAGCATACTGAATGACCTTTGCCCGAAATCACAAAAACTTCCGAAGTTTCGGTAGCGCTTAATGTGAGAGGCACTAAACCCCAATGGGACGCCATTACAAAATCATGCCCTTATAAAAAATGAATTCGCCCTGTATAAACCATCTGCTGAAATGAAAAAGCTTCCCTCCAATTCAACAAAGATATTCACAATTATACAGACGAGCACCCTGGGGAAAAGTCGATTGATTTAATGAAAACAACCGAAAAGAGTGATTTCTGAGAGACATTTTGAATCAATTCTTTTCAAGGTACATTCAGAATCCACGTCGACAGTACTTTTAAAGTCCGCCTTTCATCATTGGCCGAGAAAGTTCATCTGGATTTTCGACGTGGTTTCCCCTTGTCAGTGGTGCAGAACGGAGGGCCTGACAAGGACAGCTGTCTAGTCCTTCGGATGAGACGAAAAAACCGAGGTCCGGTGTATTCATTAGAATGCACGTAAAAGATCCCTTGGCAGTTGGAATTCGATATAAGAGTAGGCGATAATGCCGCTGCCCGGGCAAAATTTCCCTCATAGCCCACTGTATGGCGTATGCCCGTCTTCATTAGCCCAGTATAGGAGCAGAACAGTAGGACGTTAAACCCCATTTCATTTCATTTCATTTTTATTGAAAATGATGGGAATTTTCCACCACCCTCACCCAAAATGATAGTAATAGCAAAAAGTTTAAATTATAGTTAAGAAAATTTTCGTTATAGACGTTCTTGATTCGTACCTTAGGGTTTCTGGCATGTCAAAATTGATGCATCTCCATGTGCCTGTGATAAGAGTATTTCCCGGTTGTACGTGACAAGTTGTAGGGCCGCCTTCCCAACCTCGTGGGTTTACTCCGGGTACTCCGGTTTCCTCTCACTAGAAAGACCCCTGCACCTGCGCTAAGATGATAAAAATGAAAAGCGGACGTTAAACAGTAAGAACAACAACAGCAACATTCTGGGACTAAACATACATGTTGAACAACCTCATCTGATTTAGAGACTAATTTACTTTTAGGATATTTGAGAACGAAACAGCCAAGCGAGTAAGTAACCCCCCCCCCCCCCCCTAACCTTTATTGTAGTAGATTCTTCGTACACAAGATTCCCTCAATATAGAACGCAACAAAGCGGCCCGTTCTCATGCCAAATGGCATACGTGACGAAACTGGTCTAGTTTACATGATTCTTATAAAGAAGTTAAATTGAGTAGGCTGTGAAATAAGCCATGAACCTAATCTTTATAATGACACTAGACAGCAGCGGAAATGAAAATTTCGAAATGTTCAGCACATCATTGGTTTTAAACGTGGTAAAAATGAAACGGAGACCGAGCCCGTCACTGTCAACACGCTCTTTACATTTCTTGGTGATTTTCGAATATATATATATCTCCCTGTCAGTTATATCATAGTTGCATTGGACTCAGTCGGCAATTTGTCAGAATGCCGAGGCATAGAGGTACAGTAAAAGGGGAAGGGATGTCTTGGATTATTCCATTTATCATTCACCTTTAGTGAGATCAACAGTAATTTAAAAGCGTAAGATGTAGTCCGAAATAGTTCTGCAATTTTCTTGACATTTCGCGAATCACGAATAGGATAATCATTTTGCTGTCTACAATCAAAACTATACGAGTTATAAAAAATAAAGAATATTTGTGAACAAAGTGAAATTATTGGTTAAAGTTGTGCCCCCACCCCCCACCGTGACATACACAAACGCAAATACCAACGAGTTTCCAGTTAAATCCTTTTATTTTGGTTCAATAAGACGACCTCGGTTCGGTTTTTAGTAATTTTTTCAAAGGTCGACCGTAACCAGCTATTACGCCTGGAGAGTGATTATTTTGTTCAGCGTTCGGGAATACACACTTTATCGCTTTCGCTTTTTTTAAAAAGAGCTAAACCGCCTGGATTTTGGTGATGGATAATAGCATCGGACTGCCATATACAATAATCTTAAAACAACATACGTTAGACAGTGTCTGGTAACAACACAAAATTATTGGACAGTTACTTATTAAAATACAGGGGCGTACATAACGATTTTGTTTGGGGGGGGGGGTGTTTAGCCTAAACGCGACCGACTGATGCCCATACTCCTAGTACGAGTGAGGCAGTCAGGAGCCGAGCACCACAGGTGCGAGTTTTGTAGGGGACATGTGCAGTAGCGGATCTAGATAGCGGTGTGTGTGTGTGTGTGTGGGGGGGGGGGGTCCAAATCTAGGGCGCCACCCCAGCCACAATTCCACCCCACAATGAATGTCAACAAATTACTGGCTATAACATTAAGCGTCTCGGTAGAACATCGGTGGTATTGTATAATTATATAGTTGTTTGCCGATCGTTGTCTCGCTGGAAAGCAGTTTTATTTAAGTTGACATAAAGTTTATGTCATATATGATTGTGCCTATAACACTGAGCAACCTGAGAAAATTTTGAAATATTGAGTCAATATCTTGGCATTTGAGGTCATTGCTTGAAGAAATTCTTGTGGACGAGAGGACCAGAAATGTGAGTCAATTAGACAAATTCTCAAGATCTGCCCCTGTCAATTCTGCCTGTTTTGCAAGAATTGACAGAACTTTTGTATAGCCTGACGCCCCACGACCCACACACCAGTGCCAGTGGTACTACTAACATAACTAGGCAGATCAGTATAAATGTGAATATGATAGTGCTGAGACAGTATATGACAACAGAGGAGTGGAAGAATGATGTTATAATGGAATCGAGCGCCGCAGGCGCGAAAAAAATTCAGATGTGTAACCGAGCTTTTAATTTTTGGGACTGGGCCTGACAATTTTATTCAATGTCATGGCAAATGGATCCAAATTCTCGTTAACGAGAGGATAAGAAATGGGACAGAATCTTGAGGCCTATCTGTCAATGTCGCCTGTTTTGTGAGAGTAGAACTAACAATTCTACAGTCTTTTGAACCAAGACTCACTCACTAGTGGTACTACTAACTGGGCGATTCACTGTAACTGTGAATATGATAGTGATGAGATAGTATAGGACAGAGAAGAAGTTGAAGAATGATGGCATAATGGAATTGAGCGCCGATATGTAACTGAGCTTTTAATTTTTGAGGACTGGGCCTGAGGGCACTTTACCTCAATGGGGCGCTTACTTGGTCTCTGAAATGTCCTGGACTTTGGGGAGAGATTTTGCAGAATTCTGATGGTCAGAAAACACCCCATTAATTCATTTAGTCTGAGACCGACTGCGGTGAGCACTTTTTTTTGAGACCGACTATTTTTTTGCCATGGGGTGAAAAACATTTTTTTCAAACATGATAAGTTGACAAGGTTATTTTATACTAAAGTTTTGCGTGAGTAGAGTGACGTGTGCAGTGAGCACTTATTTTGATACCGACTGCTCATATCTTACGACTGACGGCGATGCATGCTTTTGAGACCGACTGCAGTGACTGCACTTATTTTGAGACCGACTATTTTTCTACCTTGGGGAAATTTTGTTCTAGACCTACATACTCACAACAGAATAAGAGTGAAACACATCATTTTTTCAAACATGATAAGTTGACAAGGTTATTTTATACTAAAGTTTTGCGTGAGTAGCGTGACGTGTGGAGTGAGCACTTATTTTGATACCGACTGCTCTTATTTTGCGACCGACTGCACTGATTTTGCGACCGACTATTTTTTTTTCTGGGGGGGGGGGGTGTACCCCCCCCCCACATTTACGCCCCTGTTAAAATAGCACATCATCATTTTAATTGCGCCCCTGTTAAAATAGCACATCATCATTTTAATTGCTGTGTTATTATCCCGTTTTATTGTTTAGATTTTAATCTTCCCATTTTATTGTCGTTAGTAACGTTGGTAAATTGTCCATTAGCATAATTCCATTTTATTATATATACCGATTTGTAAAGCCATAGAATATCCTATGTTTTATACCGTTTATAGGACAAGCCCCCCTGATAACCGGACAAGCTGTTCCGTGTATAATCATGGTTTCCGGTATTAAATAATTTCAATGATAATTCCAGCGCGTATTTATTACTGAAGATTCTCACTTTTACACCAGTTAGATTAGTGCACAGACAAGCTCTTTCCGATTTAAATTTCATTTCGACAGATATTAAGTTGAGCTGGTTTTGTTTAGTAATTGTATAGTTTCTTTTATTGTTTGCGGGAACGCGAGATCAATTATATCTCAAAATTGGCTTTATCTATGTATTTACTATAGAAGACATGATGTCATTCCATAAAAGAAATCAATACGTCATATAATCCAATGAAAACCACAATTTTGTTGGATCCGAAGCAAAGCGGTCTAGCCCCTTTAAAGTTTAAAATGTGTTTAGTTTGAAACCTAGACATATCCTTTGTTCTATAGGATCATTGGGGTGTTCTCCTGTTATAATTAATGATTTGGAATCCAGTACTAGGAACTACGTTTATGATTTAAGTAAAGAGTAAAACAAATCATAAGTTTTACTCTTAGGGTGGAAAGAATAACTCAGCCAATGTCTGAACCAAATACACCATAAATACTAGAGTGGCATTGATTTGTTAATCCTAATTTTTTTGGGACTTCGATCACGCAATCTTCCGTGAGATGTTGGTAAACAACACCAAATTTGAATAATTGCTTGACATGTTTATCATTCACCAAGTGTAGCTTAAAGACACGGTTACGTTTTGTGGCACAAGCGACGATGCCACAATGGGAACCTATTTTAAAAGTGTAATTTGGAAAGAGTTGAACGTTTTAGTAACTAGACAACTTACAGCACGACCTAAAACCCCAATAAAGAAACTTAGTTTATTTTAGCGGAGAAACTTAATATTTTAAAGTATACACTTGATATTTGTTGTTTATATCTTTCAGTGTGTATGCAGTTAGTCTTGTCGGTTTTGTTTTGTGTGTGGTGTGGTTATCCTACACTTACTATTCGAATATGACTAAAGGCGCCCGGAGTCAGCTTTATTACTAATAATCATTTTTTTTTTGTATTTCGTTTCCTTTATGTTGTGAAATATCATTCGAGCTAACTCTGAGGAAGAAAAATCGGATTAGGTATATTCTACATATGGAAGTCAATGGAGGTGTGGCTAAAAATGAGAACTCGGCGTTTTAGTGACAGAAACTGACTTATAATCGCAAATAGAACAGGTATTGTCAGCTGTCAGCACGACAAACCGACTTGCAGTTGCCTCAAGTAGAGCACTTGGGCCGATATTTCGAAAGTGAATTACTGCTAATCACAGATTTAACCTTCGATTTCCTGACCAGTCATATTCTAGAAATCTGATTAAATTTTAAACTAAGATTTATATAACTAAGATTGTCTAATCATTGAGATAATCATTGTTCGAGAATACCATAAAATTTGATATTCTGGAACGTTGACTCGTACTTAATCTTTGACTAAATCCCCCCAAAATATAGTCATCTCAATTGAATAGTTTATGGTTGGATTAAGTACATAGATACGCCATTACTATTAATTTAATGTTACCGAAATTATTATTTTTCATTGCCAGGTGTCCCCAAGACAACCAACTTGCAACACCATCTTTGGTCTATCCATAGAAAGCTTGTTTTTTTTTTTATTTTTGCAAAATGATGGTTACATACCCAGTGTTGGGAACTGACAGGATTTGTAATATAATTATTTATCAATATTGTTAAATATTCAGACGACTGTAACCAATCTAAATTATGGCGCACACAGAACATTAAAACAAAAACGTGGCGCTGTGTATTAGTATATCCTAATTTATACTCACCTGAAATCATGTAGATTATCATGTAATCACTTGTTTATTAATGTTATCT